AATTATCATGATTCACCAAAAAACGCCCGAAGGCGGCTGGACTTTTATCTAATAAATACGTCCCTTCCAGAAGTCGGGAGTTGCGCACGTATTAGATCTAGAATTACTACGGTTATCCGAGTAGTAGGTACCATCAAATAAACTATAACTGATTTAATGAGCCATTCGCAGTTTCACAGTATAAGCAGCGTATACTTAGACATGCATGGCTTAATCTTTGAGACAAGCATATGCCTACTGGCAGGATCAACCAGGTAGCTTCCTTTCAAGGTTGTCCGGTTCCCCGAGGGGACCCGAACACTCCTAAACGTTAAAAGCCCGCCCTCCCGAGCCGACGTGGATTACCTTAATAGGACTTTTCCGGACCGCCCCATGGGTCTCCAGGGTAGGAGAGCCCCGGCGCTGAGTCCCCTTTCTCAAGGCCCTTCTGTAGGTCCTCCTAGCTCGGACGCATGATCCGGAAGCGATGCAAGGGTAGTTACCCGAAGGTAGCTAACCAGCGGCTTCCCACGCGCCAGGCTTCAATGCGGACCGGGCCAGACCGTCCTTGACCCAAGGGCCAAGGACAAAGTCCGGTCGGTTTCCACCCCGATGTTCAAGCTAAGCTTGCGCACCGCGTATTGATGGATACAAGCCTCTCGGCCTCGGATGCTCCGCGCAATTGCGGAGCTTCCTTGAGCGGGTCCGCATCTGGTCCTCCCAGATTTTGTGCGCACACCTCCGCCCCACCTTCCAGCGTAGTGGCTGTGCTGAATGATGCGTTGGGGTTGCTGCCAGAAATCTGGCTGAGCAATTTCTTGCCCGCCTCGTTCAAGTGTGGCTATTACCCTTCGGGTGGCTTAAGCCACCCTAACAGCGATTTAGGGTGGCTTAAGCCACCTTAACGTTTTCAATTATTACGGGAGCTATCGGTACCGGAAGCTAGATTTTATTAGCTCAAAATTACGGCGACATTGTCTTCTTTTAGACACTATGTGCACTATTAGGCGAGCCCAAGTTCCCGGTGAGCAATTTTGGGAAGTATCCAAGAGGGTGCAACATTTAGTAAAATTTGAGCGATTTTCCCGGTTTTTGCATACCCGTGCTACTTCAACCGAGATTTTGAGGGTCAAGATGACCTCGGTGGCTACTATCCTTAATCCAGATCCTCCCACAAGGATCTAGCGCAAATGAGCATGGCGACCTTGCATATCGTATATAGTGGCCCGGCATATGCTTTGGGGCGATATCTATGACCCTTTTGAATTATCTATAACATTTTTTTGCTTGAAATGTCGATGTTTTAACCTTTAATCTTAGAGTGGTTTGGGTGGGTGCTTTCACAGAATTTTAATTAAAATGCTAGATCCTACCACAAGGATCTATGGTACCGACAACTCTAGGCCTTGCTACACGAGCTCGGGTTGGTGCGTATGTTGTTAACCCTCGAGGGTATGACCAAAACTAATTGTGTAAGCCCTTTAATATAATACTAGCCGGATTAATCGCCGCATATGCGCATGCCATGGTGTAGTACCGTCGAAATTCAATATTTCCATCATAATTAGGATCTGAAAATTGCATTCTAGAACCTCTAGCGGCAGTTCAAACCGTTCAAAAAATCCCCCAAAAATCCCAGGGAGACTTTGAAGTCATAATAAAGTACTAAAGTGCTCACCAAAGCAAAGATCTAGCCTCAAAGCTTAAAATGGACCAAGACTTACGCCCAAAATGCGAAATTATCCCCATACTTAAGGAATGTGTATATCTCACCCATGTTACCGCGTTCGTGTGATGTGTCCAATATACACTATCCAAGTCGTATTTCGACCCGAATATGATTAATATACATGCATACCTTGAGATATATCACGTCTATGGTGGAAAAGGATCGACATACGATTGACCAAAAAATATGGAAGAGACACCCCGGTTTTGAAGCTTTAAAAAGCGTAGCCGTTCAAAATTTGGTTGGGGCATGCTATAAATGCATTAGCTAGGAGTATATATGATGGATTCTCGTCAAACCACGCACCACACTACTTAATATAGGTCCCATGTGGAAAGTATTCCTTGGTGTTGACTTGTAGAAAGCTCGTGGGGCGCCCAAATAAATTATTGAAAAAGTGATCCTTGTGGGAGGATCTAGAGCGTTCTAGGTCCTCCCACAAGGATCTCGGGATAGTAGCCATCGGATCAAACTTTTGGCAAGACACTGCAGAAAGAGCAGCTCGAGATCTTGACAACATGGGTCTCCAAATTTTGAAAGCGTCTTCGAGGAAGCCGCCGGTGAGCTAATTAGCTTAAGGTGGCTTAAGCCATCTTAAGGAAAATTGGTAAATACCCACCCTACTTCAACCGATATTTTGAGGGTCAAGATGAACTCAGATCAAACTTTTGATAAGACACTGCAGAAAGAGCAGCTCAAGATCTTGACGACACAGGTCTCCAAATTTTGAAAGCACCGCCGAAGAAGCCCCCACGAGCCCTTTAAGTTAAGGTGGCTTAAGCGGGTAATAGGCAAGTGTCCTCCTTGTGTCGCAGGAGTTGCTCGCGCTCCAGGTCGGGCAGGCGCTGGACCACTTGCTTTGGGAGCTGACGGTGGTTTGGGCGTGGCCTTTTTGGAGGGGTTGGTGTGCGTCAGGTCCACGAGTTCTGCGAGTGCGAGTTTGGTGGGATCCTCCCTGAACGACTAAACGTTCCCATGCAGGTTGCGGTTGTCGAGGGAGTTTCTGAGCAGCCTTTCATGGAACGCTTTTAGGTCGTTGAACGCCTGCTGGGAGACCTCCGTCACCTGTTCCAAGGTGTACTCCTCGTGGCCGCCAAGGGTCAAGGCCAGTCTCTCACGTACTACGCCAGCGAAGTGCGGGGGCAGGGCATTGAGAAGATAGGTGCTGGCGGCGTTGTTGTCCATGGGGGCCGGCTTGTCAACTGGCCTTGCTCAGCTGACTCGTTTAACCAGCGTGCTGATTCTCCCTGCCAAACCGCCGGGGTCTTCTCCTTGCATCATGTCCAGCTTCTCCAGGGACTTCTGCGCTGCTGTGGCGGAGGGGCTGGCGAACTTCTGCCGAAGAAAGTAAAACAGCAGACGCCAGGCGGCGTCCATGTCGACTTCGCCGTTGTGCAACACCGTGAAGGCTTCGTCGCGCTCCATGGTCAGCGGTTCCAGCATGAAGCCCGTTTCAGCTGGGTACACGTCTGTCTCCTGGAACACGGTCATTTTTGTCGCATATGTGGGTTTTTTGTCGCTGTCGCAAGAAAATCTTTTTGTCGCAGGCAAAAAAAGAGAATCTTATAAAAACCTCCGTGCATTTTGCATATTCCCTTAAAGGGGCAAAGAACGATTTCACAAAAAAAAAGGTGGAGGGACGAAACGGCATCGTCATCGGAACACTGTCAAGACTGCCCAAAAAGGTTCGACATGGAAATTTTTGATCTGCAGCCTTGTCAAAAGCCTTTGGAAGATACGCTAGTCCTCCATCGACCATTTTTCGACCGCCCGATCGGACCGTCGACCGAACGATCGGACCGTCGACCGAACGATCCTTCCCTACGGTCCTAGGAAATTGTAGTATGTGTACTAAAGGTGTACGTACTAAAGGCATAGTAAAGGCCGGTTAGTACGTATGGGCGTTAGTATGCCGGTAGTATAGTATAATGCATGCATACTAACGCCATATTGGCCTGTTAAGATGCGCGTACTACAGGTGTCCTAACGGCACTGCGCCTTAAGTATGCGTTGGCACCAACTGGAGCAGGGGTGAGTGGTGGGGCACGTGTGGGTGTGTAGATCACTGAGACGTCGTTTTATGGTGACTAGAAGGCCAAGGGAAGTTTATTCCGCGGAGTATGGTGGGATTCGGGGAAAGTAGTACGCGGGCGGAGTTTCTCAGAAAGGTACTGTAGGGACGTTAGGATGGCGTTAGCATGCCTCTAGGATGTCATTAGGAGGTTGGCGTCAGGACGTAGTTAGGATGCATGTAGGCAATGCTAGTACGCTAATGGCACTCTAGCGGCACTGCGCCTTATAAAGTATGTGTTAGTTGTACTACTGCAGGGGTCGTTACCAAGGTCACAATTTGCAACTGCCTGCATGGCATGTGGCAAGCAAAAAACAAACTAGCAGCGATTCATGTCTCATACATCGACCTCGTCGTCGTCCTATGGCCTTGATCCCTCAAAGAAGTCGGCCGTTGGGTCGAGAATGACCGCGCTCTCCATGCACGGATGTGGTACAATAACAACCTGCTGTTCTACTCTATTGGCTAATATGAATGGCTCCATGTTGTCAAAGGCCGCACGGTCTACGTGCGGGTCGAAGGTATAGACCGTCTTGGTCAAGTTATCCGGGCCGAGAATGGAGTGACGTCGACGGTACTCCTTGATCTGTTCGTCGGTCGGCTTAGCGAACCAATCGCATTTTAGTAAGATGTAGACCTTTCCTGCAGTCTCGACCCGCAATATTCTCGTAATACGGCTGTGCCTGCATATCGCCAAGCCCATGATTGTGTAAACAGCTAATTTAGTATGTCGTTGACACATTATGCGCATCCTAATCGAGTCATAACGACATCCTAAAGACATGTTAACGGTAGAATATTGCGTGCCCCTTCCTCACCTTGCCGCGTTTTTTGGCTCACCGTGCTCGTCCACTTCCCCACTCGCGAAGAAAGTGCGAAAGTAGCTGTGTACGGTGCGCTTGTTCCGATCGGTCGTAGCCTTGCGGTAATCAGCGTCGCCGATCTTGACGTGCGTGAAGCTATATCAAACTGGTGTCGGCCCCGCGTCATCATGAGCAACATATCGTACTTGGTGAACTTTCGGCCCAACCATTCCGTAGGATCCGCGTACGCTCCAAATGGGGGATCGCGTATGTGCTCAGCTTTGCCCTCCCTTGCACAAACCGCGTTCCGGTACTGCTTGTTTCGCAGTCGCATCTGTGCATTCCAACTGTGCACAACGATACGATACCGTTAGTACGTTAGACGCGTCCTAAATATGCAATACCGGCGCCATAAGGGAGTAAATCCGGCAGATGGGGGGCTACTTACGATTGCCCCCTGATTTTTGTTTGTGCCCCCTGAAAAATTGCTCCCTGAAAATGGTTTTCAGGGCCTGAAAATGGTTTTCAGGGCCTGAAAATCACTTTCAGGGTCTGAACTTGTTTTATACTAGGCTAGTTATACACCTTAGAAAAAACTTTATGGATAATATAATTTTTACACCAATTTTCAGGGCCTGAAAATTTCGAATTCACACTCTTAAGATGCCCCCTGAA